GTATTGCGCTCCATTTTCGCCAAGGGAGGGTGGGGGGGAGGGGGAGGGGGGGGAGGGCGGGGGGGTGAACCTTGTGAGTTAATTAATAATGCTCTTCGTGGGTCACCCACCGAGTCGTTTGTTTTTTTTAATCTCCGAATGCATCCGTCTTAATTTTTTATTTTTTTTCGGGTGCACTTCAGTCTTTGTTTTTGTTCTTTTTCAAATCTCAGTTGGATGCGCGCTGCTGCTTCTTCGCCCCGTTTCCACTTCGATCTGCACAGATTTTTTTATTTTTTTTTTGTTCGGACTTCTTTTCCATTCATTTCCAGAATTTCAAATTTGTTAAGTTTAAAAACCCCGCGCATGCTTTGCACAACGATGTGACAAGGGGAATCCTTTCTCCTCCTCCTCCTCCTCCTCCACGCTCTTCTTTCTTCGCTTAACACTTAGGGCATACTCACAATGGGACTTTCTCAACGTGATCTGGTCGCATTTGCAGTAAGATACGTCTCAGAAAAAAGAAAAGTCCTAGGTAGTGTGCCAGCGAAAGTAACTTCAACTCGCTCTGCTTCTACTCCCAGTTAATGTACACGGCCAGGGGGATAAAAGAAAAGAAAAGAAGAAAAAAAAAAGGACAGAAAACAATATCATAATACTAAGCGGAAATCGAGCAAAACCCGAGCTCGACGTTAGAGACAAGGCAGCAAAGGGGCTCTATTTGCACCACACGCCATCCACCAACATTTTGAATGAATCTGAACACGGAACCTGTCCATATGCATTCAAAACGTTGACGGATGGCGAGTGGTGCAACGCCCAAAGCAAAGCCTCACAATCGTCAGAGTCTGGGTTAGGGTGGGGGGCAGGTGAAGTTAAAAAAAAAAAAAACTCAAAGAAAACTTAAAAAGAGCAACTAAAAAAAAAGAAACTTCAGCCTGCACACATTAGCAGCTTTCCCCTAACACAGTATACCTTACAGTATTTGCCACTTCATGTTGCGTTCACAAAAAAAAAAAAAGCCGCTTCATCTATCCAAGCCAGATCCACCGTCGTAATGCACGTCCTAACCACTACCGTTCGTTCATTTGCATTTCTGGCAGAAAAGGATTTGTTTTTTTTTTTTTGGGGGGGGGGGGGGGGGTCGATGGTCCTTTTTCTTTTTTTTTAATCAACACGGCCGCTGTGTGAGCTGACTTGGCAGAGAAGGATGGATGGTCTTTCATCAACAACCGTCAAAATCGACCGACGGCAGTGAGGAGACCAAAGCCTGAGCGCAGCCTGTGCTGGACACTCTAAACACTAAGAAAATGTGCCCATCTCCACCCAGAGGGGGACGATTTAGCCTCTATTCTGGCCAGAAGGGCAGGGCCAGAAGGGCCATCATTCTGGCCCTTCTGGCCAATATTCTGGCCTTTCTGGACGCCATTGTGGGTCCTTATGGCCGCCATTGTGGGTCCTTGTGACAACCATTCTAGTCCTTGGGCCCATCATTCTGGCCTTTCTGGGCCTTCTGGACACCATTCTGGTCCTTGGGCCCACCATTCTGGCCTTTCTGGCCCTTCTGGCCGCCATTCTGCCCCTGCTGCGCCTTGCCCAAGGAAAGAACACGCAAGCTTGCCTACTGTAGGCAGACGAGTCCAAAAACACTGAAGAACATGTGCATTCTCTTCTCCTCTTCTCTTCCCATTTCCTCACGTCTCCTCTCTTCTCCTCTCTTCTCCTCTCCTCTCTTCTCTTCTCTTCTCTTCTCTTCTCTTCGAAGATGTGCATTCTCTTCTCCTCTTCTCTTCCAATTTCCTCACTTCTCCTCTCTTCTCCTCTCTTCTCCTCTCTTCTCCTCTCCTCTCTTCTCTTCTCTTCTCTTCTCTTCTCGTCTCTTCTCTTCTCTTCTCTTCTCTTCTCTGCTCTGCTCTTCTCTCCTCTTCTCTGCTCTGCTCTGCTTTAGCAGGACAAGACTCGTCTTCTGCTAAGATACCCAAAATTACAGCCTTGGAAGATACGAGGAGGAAGAAAAATGGAGTGTGCCCTCAACGCAGTCAGGAAGACATAATCATGTTATCATGTCCGATGGCCTGCACTGCCAAAAAGACCACGTGGATGTTTATCCACATACCACCTCCCTCTATTGTTCCATTACGTACACGTGGCTATCGTAGAGACTGAGTGCAACGGAGCTCAGCTCCCCGTTCGTTGATCAGATCGGAGAGTTCGTCATCAACCAGCGAGCAAGCGTGCTGCCGGACCGCCTCTGTGCATTTCGCTCCAGCCCCGCCCTCCCCCCCCTATTTGACCACATTCATTCCCCCTTCCCTTCCCTTCCCTTCCCTTTTATCTATCGATCCATTTCTTCTTTCAATTCCAATTTCTATGCCCATTCATGAATTCTTGCTTTTCATCATCGATGTGTACTCGAAAGAGCACCACCTCCCACAGGTGAGCAGTACGAATCCGTCGGCGCTCTATCAGTCCGGTGAGACAGAGACACTACTTGCGCAGTCGTCCGCCACGTGGCCATCTAACAGACTTTGCACTCTTTGGAAAAAATAAATTAGTCCCCTACCGGTCGTAATTCTTTCATTTTCGTTTTGATTCTCTTTCATTTTCCTTTTGTGATTCTCTTTCATTTTCGTTTTGATTCTTTCAATTTGATTCCACATTCTCTAAATTTGATTCCACATTCTTTCAATTTGATTCCACATTCTTTCAATTTTCCCCCATTAGTAATTCATTTGGTTAATGAATTCCATGGACGATGGGAGCTACGTGAGGGATTCGGTGCTCGGCTTCAGTCCTCCTCCTCCTCCTCTCTCGTCTCCGCGCTCGATGCTCATGCTCGTCCTGCGCCATCTTGATGGTCTCCATCAAGACCCTCGGGGCAAAGATGGGCACGTTGTTGTTCTCCTCGCAGTCTTCACAAAACGACAAAATGATGGTATCCATGGCCACTTCCACGACAGTAAAGAATATGTACGCGACGATGAAACTGACTCCCATGCAGAACAAGACGGGCGCTAGAGGGCTGGACACTCGATTTTCCCCGCTCTTGTACCTCAGGTCTTCCAGCATGAGGAAGGCCAAAAACGCGCAGGCGAAGGACACCATGAGCTTGGCCAGGAAGAGTGCGAAATCCCCCAGCACGCTGACCGCGGCCACCCGCAGGATGTTGTCGACGATCAGCATGGACGCGCGCGCCGCCGCCTGACAGAATCCATAGCCCTTGATGGCGATGATGATGTAGGCGTTGCGATTAACGAATTTGACGACGTAGTCGAGGCAGACGAGGCAGTACTCGGTGCAGCAGCAGACGTAGCGGATGACGCTGGTGTCGTCGGCGAGAAGCTTGCGCCGGAGGTACTCGCAGAGCCAGCGGATCAGTCCGACGATGCCAATGACGAGCGAGCCCAGAGCCATCGATCCCAGACTGTAGCGGATCGTACGGGTGGCGGCGTTGGTGACAGGGTGGAACGGGATCGCGGCCTTGTCGCTCTTGGTCCAGTAGAAACTGGCGACGGCGCCGGCGATGGTCGTCATGGAGCACGCGAGGATGAATTGCAAAGTCCAGAAGCAGCCGAAGATGTGATAGACCATGGCCCATTTAAGCCGAGTGTTGTATTTGATGTCGTAGCCGCAGCAGTTCTCCGGCCCGGTGACGGTGCGCAGAAGCGCGACGCTGTAAGAGCGGCACTGCTCCGCGCCCAGGCAGTCTCGTCGAGTGACGTCGCCGGCGCTGAACAGGTAGGAGGCCACGTAGACCCAGAAAATGCCGAAGAGCACGGAGGCAGCGAAGGGGAGGATGGGGAAGACGAGCAGGGTCGGGATCGCGGCCATGGCCTTGGACGCGACCTTGAGAATGCCGGAGGCGAAGTGGATCCGCCGCAGCATCACGGCGCTGAAGAGCAGCAGCACCGCCAGCACGAGCGTGTATAAGATGGCAGTGACCTTGAGATGCTCGCGCTCCGCCGCCGCTCCGTCGATCCCCAGCACGGTCGCCGCCGCCTCCGCCCCCACCACCGCCTCCACCGAACTCTTCTTCAACGACCCCGCCTTGACGTAGAACAGCAGCATCACCAAGATCGCTAGCGCGTTGACCAAGATGATGGTCAGCCACACCGTGAATCTCGCAAAGAAGCGCACGAACACCAGCCAGACCGAACACAGCACGAGAGGAGCTATGGCAGAACAGACCACGAGGACGGGCCAGGCCTTACCTAGGTCGGCCACGTAGCGCTGCAGCACGGCCGACGGGTCGCTCAAATACCTGTTGACGGAGTCCCAGATGCTGATGCTGTGGAAGGTGACGGCGGAGCCGTTGATTTGCCGCCATAGCTCGTACATCGGGAAGCTGATGTTGGCCTCCGGCTGGCAGCTCCAGAACAGACTCGTCGTCTCGATCAGCACTGGGTAGCAAGGGCCTTCCAGTCGCAAAGAGGACAGCCGTTGAGTAGCATCCAGCAACTCGAAGTAGCTGTAGTTTCTATCCGCCCAGTCCTTGATTGTCAGCTGATGCAGCGGGCTGGTGGAGTTGCCCGCGTTGATCTCCGGGTAATCGCAGACCCAGGACAAGGAGGAATTGATGCCTTCCGCGATCGGAGGGCAGGCGCGAAGACAAATGGCTCGCGCATCTCTGAGACTTACGGAAAAAGTTATGTCGCCGCTCTCGATCACCTGCTTCGGATTCATCCAATAGCGAATGTTGTATCCCTGGAGGTTAGGATCGCCGTGAGAGGACCCGCACAGGTTGCCCTTGTAATCGAGGCCATACACAAGTCTGCGAGGGTTGCCTTCCCTGAAAGCGATGCCGGCAGCCACCAGCATGCCGCACCAAAAGACAACGAAAAGTACCAGAAACGGCACATCTCGACACCGCCTGTGAGTCTCAATCCGATCCACGAGAACGGTGGGGATGTAGTGAGCCACGTGATGATGATCCATAACCTAATCAATCAATCAATCAATCAATCAATCAATCAATCAATTGACTAATCAATTTGTCAATCAATCAATCAATCAATCAATAGACTGATCGATCGATCCATCGATCTACCAAAGCCCTTAATTAGCAGACTAATCGATCCATAGACCAATCAACAATCTACCAATCGATCAGCCGATCCATCAATCGATCAGCAGCCGATCAATCAATCAGTCGATTAACCAACCAATTATGCAATCAATCAATCAGTCCTTCGCTCAGACCATCAATAAATCAATCAGTTGATCGATCAATGGATCGATCGACCACTTAACGAATGGATCCATCTAGCGATCCACACATCAATCAATCACTCAATCAATCAACCTGTCACTCAAACGATTGCCTTTCACCGATGTAAGACGCCGGAGTGCAACCAGCAGATATCCATGCCCAAGCGCCGTCCTCCTTCCCTTCTTGGTCAGCAGATATGGTGGATGAAATTCTGCCAACGATCGGCTGATGCCCGCTGCTGGGCCATCGAAAGACCGTACACGGGGAGATTCACACCAACTAGCAATTCCTCCCCTTGACAACACACACACACACACACACACACACACACAGGGCGAAGATTCGCACCGAGTAACGATTGGGAAGGAAGGAACTAATCTTCGTAATGATGAACTGAACTTGTTTCGGACTGAGAAGGACACTCACCACCTCTCCTATCCTCGCCCTACGCGTTTCTCCTACCGGCAGGCAAGCACTTTGAGCAAATATAACAGGGAGTGAGAATCTCTCTGCTTCGCCCAGATGGCAGTTTCACCTAGCCGCCTTCTCTGCTCCCCCTTAGCGCCCCTTCTTATCCCCCCTCCCCCCTCCCACCCCTCCTCACCTTTTCTCCAGTCTTTGCTTTGGCCTTCTCTTCTCGTTTTGTACTTTCTGACAACTTGTCATGAGCTAAAAAAAAAAAAAAAAAAAGCTAACTCGGTTCTCAGTACGACCCCCTTTTCTTCTGTCCGACAAAAAAGAGACGGAAAAAAAAAAAAAGAGACGAATACTCTAAGAAACTAACTAACTAGGACTGTAGCGGACCTCCGGTTGGCCTGTGAGACCAGCCCCTTGGCCTGTTCTCACAGGCCTGTGTTATATTCGGGGTAGGCCAGTCCAGGCCGGTACCTCTGTCGGTACCGGCCAGCCCAGTCCAGTCCCGTCAGTCCGCTGGGGTATACCCCAGCCATTGTCTGTTTTCAGTCTCATTCCTCACTTGCACATTTTGGAGTACGTGCATTGGAGTCTTGCGTGAGGAGCTGCGTTGTGCCATCTTGCTCCCCCTTCTTCCTCCATCTCCATCTCTGTCACTAGCGGAGCACCACACCTGGTG